AGAAGAAATATTTGAACAAACGCTTATTCACTTTATTGCTTTCTTGAATAATACCAAAATTTGTCATAAAATCAATAAAATTCATAATATTAAAAAAAATATTTAAAAATATGAAAAAATAGATGCTAAGATTGAAATAACAATTCAACAAAATACATCAAAAATGGTATAAGAATTAGGAATAAACAATCTAATATGCAGAGAAGAGAACATAATAATAAAGTTTCAGATTCTGAATAGATTTGAAAATCCAACTCAAAAACCAAGTAGTGATAATAAAAAAAAAAAAAAACCAGGAACTTATATCTCTAATATTATGTTAGAAACAAAAAAGAAAAAGAAATATTTAAAGAAAAATTTATTATTTTCTTAAATAATATTGTATATATAACGACCTATATATATGTGTTTACAAAAAAAATATTCTAAGGTATATATTCAAATTTTTCTTCTTCTTTTCTGCTTCTAAGAATGTCCTTCCGTCCATCCTCAATATATAGAGGCTTCAGCTCGTCTACCAATTCCCAATACCAATACCCTCACTTCCCCAATTCCTCTATTTTGCTGGGTTTATCAGAAATTTTAACTGATAAACCATACCAGCATTACCTCATTTCCCCTCTTTATTAGAACTGCATTTTCTTGGGTTTGGGGGTGAAGGAAAGGGAATCCCATTTTGTAATATACAGGGCAGATCTGTTTCTCTCTGTTTTTGTTGATATATTGAACAAACCAGGGTGATTCTGTATTTGGGTATTCTTCTAATACTGTGAAATACATATATATACACTGTGAATTTAATATGGCAGGATGTCTTCTTTAATTGTATATAAAGTTTTGAATTTCTTTTTTTCATTTAGTATTGATTGACTTGAGTTGTTAATAACAAATGTTAATAATTTATTTGTGCTGTGTACACGTGCTGATGTGCATTGAGTATAACTCAACTATTTTATCTATATTAATTAATTTTATGAGTTGTATTTATAGTTAAATTTAGAGTTTAAGTTTTGATATTAATATTATAAAAGATTAATATTTTAAAACACTTAGGCAATGTAAAGAGTACATTTTATAAATATTTTTTTTAAAAAAAAGGAGTTTTGAAATACATTCTA